AAAGAGAGAGAAAGAGTGAGTTTAGAGCGTACCGAGATCACGCCGGAGTACGAGCGAGAACCAGCAGCGTCGCCGTCATCCCCCGACCAGTCGGAAGCCTCCCAGACGCGCCGTTGACCGGTGAGTCGTCCCCCGGCCCGAACTGCTATGTTCTCCCCCGTTTTTGCTCCCGGTTTGGCCTGGACCCGCGCCGGCCGTTTCGCGCGAGTCCCGGCACATACTGCCGTCCCCCGCCGTCCGTGCATCATCGTTAAAGGTAAGAACAGGTTTCCCGAGGACGGCGGGGCCTCGAAACAGGTCGGAATCTCCTGTTTTTGGTCGCGCACGCCCGGTGTTCGACAAAATGCCTCAAAGAGGCCGGTTTTTAATTCGGTTGCCGGCCGGCGAGCGGTGGTCAAACGGCGACCCAGGTGGACGGCGAGGCTTGGCGGTGTTCCTAGAAGCCGATTTGGGGGAGGCGCTGGCCTGGGTCAGCCGGCGGACGGCCAATTTTGGCCTCTCCGGCGCCCCCTCCCCGCGAGTCTGCATATTCGGGTCGGATCCGTTGACCCGGGTCGGTTCCGACCCGACCCGGATTAACAGATCCGACCCGGGTCAACGCCCGGGTCGGATCCGTTGACCCGGGTCGGTTCCGACCCGATCCGGATTGACCGATCCGACCCGGGTCAACGCCCGGGTCGGATCCGTTGACCCGGGTCGGTTCCGACCCGGCCCGGATCCGCAACCCGACCCCGGTTTAATATTATATTAATATTTTTTAATTTATTTTTTAAAAAAATTAATTAAAAAATGTTTTTTTTTGTTTTTTTTTCTCCTTTACTATATATATTTCGAAAAAAAAAATTTGAAAATTTTTTTTTAAAATTTTTTTTTTTAAATTATTGTGTGATATATTCTAAATGTTTAATTTAATGTAGTATTATTGTGCATATTTTTGTCTTGTTTAAATTAGACAAGCCTGAGATTGCGCGGTAATATTTTACATGTTATTTTTATTATCGCTGTATTATTATGCATGTTTTTAATACAATCACATGAGTTGTGTTTTGAATGTCATCTGACTTAGTTAAGGTTAGAACTTTAGGCTGCATGAATTGTTGTGTTCCTGACTGCTGATCATTTCTGATTATGCACTCGCTTGATCACCTCACATGTTAGGAGAAAGGTCCTAAAATCAATCCAAATTGCACGACAAATGTTTTCGAAAAATGAACAGGGTAAAAAGGTACCGAAAGGGCATTAGTTATCCAACTAGTGTAACCAAGTCCCCGAATTCAGTTAATCTCTGGTTCGCAGGAATAGGGTGATTCTCCCATCACCCTATTTGGGTTTCTAATCGGCCCACTCCAAATCGATTAGTGGCGACTCCTTGATATAAATCACCTGCATGTTAAGAAACTTAAACCCTAAGTTGCGATATGGTATGGGCTTGGGAGAGCCCGAGTTAAGTCCCAAACCTAGACTTAGCACGTACCAGGCGAGCCCCCCTTTTTGCATGTTGTTCGATAAAAGGGCTCGGGAGTTCGGTCGCGACAACATATGAGACAGAATCCTATTCCTTTCCCTTTCTCAATAGCTAATTATCGGGAAAAGTATCAGAAAAGTCTTAAACCTTTTGCATTGATGTCAATTCAGTCATAAAACTTTTTTTGATGCCAATTTAGTTCTAACATTTTGTCTTTATGCTAATTCAATCCTTCCGACTAATTTTGGTTAGATTTTGTTGACGTGGACGCCGGTCGGCCTACGTGGACAATTTTTAATAATATTTTAATATTTTTTCGATTTTTTAAATATTTTTTCTAATTTTTTTCCTTCTTTTCTTTTTTCTTTTCCTTCTTCTTTTACCTTTGGCCGGTGTCCGGACACCGACCACCGGCCATGGCCGGCTGCCTAGCCTCGTCCGGACGAGGCCGCTGTCGCCCGCCACAAGCGAGGCTGGCCGACCCTTGCTCGGGCAAGGGCAGGCGAGCCCTGGCCAGGCTGGGCGAGCCCTGGCGAGGGCTCCCCTTGCCAGATTTGGCGGGGCCGGGCGTCGTCCTGCATCGCCCAGGCCAAGGTGATGCCCGGCGAGGCCGCCGTGGCCTGGACGAGGGCTGGTCTAGCCAGGGCTCATCCAGGCCTCGCTGGCCCTCGCCTGGCCGGTGGCCGGCCATCGCCTGTGGGCCGGTGGCCAGCCATCGCCTGTGGTCGGTCACTGGCAAAGGGAGAGGGAGGAAGAAAGAAAAAAAATCAGAAAAAATAATGAAAAAATCGATAAACTATTAAAATATTATTAAAAATTATCTACGTCAGCGCCGGCAGTGCCACGTAGTCCGACCGGCGTCCACGTCAGCAAAATCCGACCAAAACTATTCGGAAGGACTGAATTGGCACTATGTCAAAAAGTTTATGACTAAATTGACACCACTACAAAAGGTTTAGGACTTTTTTGACACTTTACCCGCTAATTGTCTATAGAGATAATGACACAAATGATCCCTAAACTTGGGCCTAATGTGCAATGTGATTCATAAACTTTTAATTTGTTCAATGTGGTCCATGAACTTTTAATTTATTCAACATGATTTATGGAATTTTGGTACATGTTCAACGTAGTTCCTAAACTATGTGAAAATATTTAATGTAATCCTTCCGTTTCAAGATCAAAGACAACATAGAATATTTTCATATAATTTATGGACGAATTTGAATATGTGCTAAAAGTTCATAGACTATATTGAACAAATTAAAAATTCAGGGACTACATTGCACATTTGACTAAAATTCGGAGGTTGTATTGAATAATTTAAAAGTTCAGGGACCACATTACACATTTCACCAAAATTTATAAATTATTTGCATCATTTTCTCTTGTCCAATATTCTAGGACAACGTGATGGACATTGGACAGCTCCTGTCCAACACTCTCCTATTCAGCTTGACCGACCACCGACATCGACAACAACACCGACATCCCAACACCCCAACACCCACCCCATACCCACGCGACCCACCAGTTGGATACCAACGAGTACAATAATAAGAACCTCATTTATTGAAAGTTGGATATGGAAAAATAAATAATTAAAATAAAATAATAGAAACGACAATGACAATGACAATGACAAAATGTCAAACGTCTTTTGTGTAGGCATGCGACACGAAACGATCCTCATTTGTGAATGCGATCACAATTGATTTGGACCTTTTCGATTCTAAATTTGACCGTAACATATGAAGCAGCTTCTTGTTAAACGAATTTTCCAAGCTATAGCCAGAAGTGATGCTTTTATTTGAATATTGGTTGGAGCTTCGAGGGGAAAGGTACCAAAAAAGTTCTAAACCTATTGTATTTATACCAATTCGATCTTAAACCTTGTAATTGTATCAATTGAGTCATAAACCTTTTGATATTTTGCTAATTTAGTTTAGTCGGTCAATTTTGGCTGGGAATTGTTGATGTAGACGCTGGTCATTTTACGTGGCACAGCTGGTGCTGACGTGGACAATTTTTACAATTTATTATTATTATTTTCTGATTTTTTTAAATAATTTTCTTTCCTTTTCTTTATTTTTTTTTTCATTCTTTCTCCACCGACCACCGGGCCTCAAAGATAGCCGATAACCGGTGAGGTCGAGCCTTGCCTAGATCTGGTGAGCCTTGGGCGAGTCTCGCTTCGCCAGATCCGGTTAGGTCGAGCCTTGCCTGAAGCCGGCGAGGCTGACCCTTGTCGGTTGTCGCCTATGGCCGGTCGCTGTCCATTGCCGAGACTTGGCGACTGGCGAAGGAAGAAGGAAAAAAAAAAAAGAAAAGAAAAGGAAAAAAGAATAAAAAATATATAAAAAAATTCAAAAAAATAAATTATCCACTTTAGCGTCGGTTGTGCCACGTGAGATGGCTAGCATCTATAGTAGCGATTTTCGGTCAAAATCGCCAAATAGATTACATTGGCAAAATGTCAAAAGGTTTAGGACTCAACTCGTATAATTGAAAAGTTTAGAACTGAATTGGTACAAATACAATAAGTTTAGGATTTTTTGGTACTTTTCCCAAGCTTTGAGCTTAGCTTTTGTCGACTTTTGAGCTATCGAATCAATTTCTGGTTGGGGATCATTTAATTTCTTGTAGATTTTACTTGTGAAAATCGGATTGTTTGTTTGTTCCTCTCTGTGATGTTCTTATATCTTGCATCTACAAGGTATGCGATAGAAATTGCTAACATTTGAAAGAGGGAGGAAGTGGCCATTGGAATTAATTTGCATTCGCTCAAGGAGCTTTGGGGTGCACTGGGGAAGATGCAATTGCATCTCCAAAGCTCTCTAAAGGCCTTTTAGCCTAAAATAGGTCCGGAGGTACTTTGGAATGTTGAGTTTCTGAAATGCAAATAGATTTTTTTTTCTTCCAACTTTGCCCTCACTCAATTGTCATAATTCTGGAAATGTCCTCAAAAACCCTAACTTTGCCTTAGCCACTAACAAGCAACAGTGTGCCACCGGCGAGAAGCCGGCGTACGGCCGGCGAGTGGTCGGCCACAGAAATTGTTTGATGTACGGAGGCGAATTAGTTTTAGATTTTTCAATTTTTCCAATTGAGTCCTAATTTATATGAAATTCTAATGTAGTCCTTACAATTAATTTTCGTAGGAAATCGCCGACATAATAAGATGCATGTTAGACGGGCCAGAGATGATTGGACCATCACGTCAATTTTTGGCAAAGCTATTCTTATGCATGAGTATTGTCTACTGAACTTCTATGGTACTTTGACAAATGAAAGTGTTTGTCAAAATAAATAAATAAACAAATGAAAGTCGGTAAAAGCTTTTCTGATTGGTGGGGAAGTGGTTATGAATTGTAGGCCGTCCCATAGAATAGATATAGAGATGATGAAAGTACTGGGCTTTCATCGGTAGAAACAATAGTAACACTTTCATCTGTCCAACCTTTATTGCCCATAATAGACAACGACAAAACAACTTAACGTCATCATCTCCAACTTTAATGATTGAAGACGACCCTTAAGAGAAAATCCCAAATAAGTTCGACTAACTCCCACATAAAACATCGACCAACTAAACAAGTACAGAATCAACGACAAAGAACAAGTATGAACTCACATCAAAGAGGGGTAAAAAAGGTATCGAGTTATTGCCCCCCGACATTAGATAATATAAACTAGACCCTCTGCTTCATTGCTGGTTCCTCATGGCAAGAACCTTGGCCCAAGCCGGCCGAGCTGAGATGTTGGCCAGCCATGCGCTCAACTTGGGGCGGGCGTCGAACAGCTTCTTCACGGGTGTCCCCATCAGGGTGGTCATGGTCGGAAGGGGGTGGAGGTCGGCCAGGGTGAAGCAGTCGCAGCCCAAGTACTCGGACTGGCTCAGCCGGGCCTCGTAGACGTCGAGGACCTTGGCGAGCTTGGCCTCGTTCTCCTCGACTACAGCAGCGTCCGTGGCCATGCCGGACCTCGGCTTGTACAAGAGCTCCCGCCGCAGCTTCAATGCCAAGGGTTCAAACTGGTGGGCCTCGACCTGCATCCACACGCCCACCGTCGCCATGGGTTTGCCCTCACAGACGAGCGGAGTGCCCTTGTCCGCGTATACATGAGCAACGTACTGAGCAATTGCCCTTGATTCTGCCACCACAGAGAGCAAAATCAAAATATGAATATATTTCGCATAGTTGTTTCTCGTTCAGATGACCGATTGAACACTCAAAGATTGACTAAACACTTGATCTTTCCATCATGGTCACACAATCTATCAGCGATCGAATCAACACCTTCGACTAAATACTTTCATCTTTCATCACCGTCACACAAGATAATCTATTATTGATAGAATGACTCACCGAATAGCTTCAAATCTCCATCCTCAAAGGCCGGGACTTGACCGAAAGGCTGCACACAGAGATCGAGAAATGTTGACGAAGGAGGGTTTCTTGAAAAAACACGTTGATACCCCAATACCAGAAAATAGTTAGAAATAGTGTCGCAGAGGTGGTAGGCAGGGACGCGGACTTACGTTGAGGGCGAGGAAATGCTCCTTCTTGTGCTCCCCAGCTCGCATGTCGACGGGGATGAACTCGAACTCGAGGTTCTTCTCGTAGAGGGCAGCACAGACCCGCATCGCCGCGGTGGACAAGACGGTTCCATAAACTTTCATCACCATGATTGCTTTGCTCTACTTTCTTTTTTGTTTCTCTCGAGAACTAAACGCAGAACAATCATGGCGAATGACGGTGTGTTTTGGGCTCTTTTTATAGAGCATGGCTAGCCTAGCTATCAATACTGTCTGTCGGTGCAATTCAGATCACATATTGAGAGAGGAATGGTTCTTATTTTAAGAAACAAATCTACGCGTGTCATTCAAGGTGGAGAAGCCACAGTTCCATTTGGAAGACTTTACGGCACTATCACCTCACCATGTCATTCTAGATCTAGAGGCTCGACGCCTCCCCCATGTTGTATAAATTGCCCTGAATTACCCAACCACAAAGATACAATCGGTAGCTTCCCTCTTGCATCGGCTACTCAACTGATATACCAAACTGAATGAAAAAAAATCTAAAGATTCAGGCATATGCATCCTAGTTTTAGATGACTAATAACCTGAGATGGCCGACTCCTCGATGATCCGCCGGACAAGAGGGTTGAGATTGGCCCTGTTGCTGCCGGTCATAGGCGAGCGGCCCAGACCCCAGAGCCAAGTGGTCAAGTACGGCGCGGCGTGCTGTTGAGCCCTCTACCTAGTGCATCGTAGAGGAAGAACTCGACCTCCAAGAACTCCAAGTTCGTCGCAACGTGGATCAGCTCCGCGTCGGTAGCGGGAATCAGATCTAGGCGAGGTTCGCCTCTATCGACACCCTCGCCCAGGCAAGGCCAGGGCATCACGGCCCTCGCTAGACATGGGCGAGGGCGCATAGGCCCTTGCCAAGTCCTCGCCGGCCCACTGTTAGGAAAAAAAGAAAGGAAAGAAAAATGAAAAGAAGAAAAAGAAAAGAAAAAACAAAAAGTGATAAAAAAATTCGGAAAAATTTAAAAATATTTAAAAAATTGTTATTGTCAGTGGCAACCGTCCTAACCAGCCATGTCACATAGGACGTCCGATGTCTATGTTAACAATTTCCGGCCAAAATTGGTCGGATGGACTATATTGGTAAATCGTCAAAAGGTTTAGGTCTCAATTAGCACAATTGAAAAGTCTATGACTGAATTAGTATAATTACAATAAATTTAGGAATTTTGCGGTACTTTTCCCAGCACATGGATCATTTGATAAGTCTCGATATAGACATTGACGTTCATGTTTAGATTATGAAATTTCATATTTTAAAACGAAAGAATAAAATGTGAAAAACTTGGCTAAGCTCAATCAGGCTGTATTAAATACATGCGGTACAGTCAGGGCCAAAATTCTCTTTTTCATTGAGCCTGAGCTTGCAAATTGAGCCAAGAAAAGCAGGTTCGAACTATCGAGCCAGACCTAAAGGTTCTTCAAAAGGCCTGGTCCATTTTCACTTCTTGATGGCCCTCCAATATGTATCGTGTTTAGTGAGTATCTTGAGGAAATAACCTTGTATATAATCGTGTTTGTTGGGCAAGGATTGGCATAGATAATAAATAATATGCAGCGAGAGGAATTTGAGATTTTTCTATTTGATATATTCCTAATGAATAGTACACGAGTCTATTCATAAGCTCTATTAGATGGTTATAAAAGGTAACCAAATCACATGGTTTGTCAGTACTTGGTTGAATGATAAGATGATCTCCTATTTTAGACTTAGAGATTTCATTTACTAGACTTTGGACCAATTCTTATTTTTCAGACATGTAAGATGGATCTTTCACTGACAGTTCTTTTTGGAGCTTTTATGCATTTTGATTGTGAATATGAATATGTGCTTATATCTATATTAGTGGTAGTATACACTAAGTGTAGTTCCATCGTATGAGTCGACGTAGGGTTTCTAGAGTAGGTTTCTCATTGATTTGTCGCTTGGTACATGAATAGTGATTTTGAGTTGGTTAGACCATTAAGGGGTTTCAATGGTGACGGCCACATGTCAATGGGTGAGGTTGTTGATCCTTAGAGGATAATTGAACCTTTGTAAAGACAGGTTTTTGGGTGTAGTGGTGGTGTTGGTGATAGGTGACTCTGACCCTTCCCTGAACTTTTGTAATAGTGTTTTGCTTGATGTTGTATTAAAGTATCGTTTAAAGATTCTTTTTTTGGTCAGAGATGTTTGTATAAAGATGAAGATATGTATATTATTAAAGTCGTGTGATTTTATTGTATGGAATATTGTGAATGCTTTATTGTGCTTCCGTATGCTTATATTAATTATGAGTAATAATTAGAAAAGACATGTGTTGTGCATGACGTAGGACTCCGGTACCCTTGCTCGGTGCCCCGGCTCAGGTCCACAGAGGCTGGGCTCGAGACCCGATGCTTGTTCCCAAATCCTTGCACCCAAGCCTAGGCCCATTGAGGCCAAGCTTAAGTTCGTAGAGGTTGGGCTTGAGACCCCGGTGCTTGTGCCTCGAGTACCTTGAGTACATCGAGGCAAGGCCCAAGTCCACAGAGGCCGGACTCGGGACCCTAGAGCCCGTGATTATATCCCTAGCAACCGAGCTCGAGCACCAGTACACGTGCCCTGGTCTATCGAGGGTACATTCGGATCCCTAGTTGCCCATGCGCAAGTCACTAGAGCTCGAACAATGTATGTTTATTTAGGAAAATCTATAAGATTTTCTTACCAAATGACAGAAAATATTTTCCATTTCATTTTCAAGTTTCAGCCAAACACTTGAAAATATTGTTATTTTCTTGGAAAATGATTTTCTAGAAAATATTTTTTTAGAAATGTCATATGTTTTGCAAAACAAACGGAGTATAAATATCTTAAACAGGTTTAATCTGGTGGAAGAGGTAATGATGGTGAAGGTGAATGATGAGGTGCGAGTCCCTATTGACATGGGTTCACAGTCTTGTGGTGTGGTTTGTAATTGTTCTAAAATTAAGGCGGAAAATATCGGGATCTTGCAATTAAATCAACGCAAAACACCAGAGAAATAAACGATGAACGATGAGGACATCAAAGATTACGTGGTTCGGTCCGAGTGTCGGTACCTACATCCACGAGAGAGCCAGCAGGAAATAATTCACTATAATCGGAAAATTAGAGTTACAATTGCTCACACTCTGAGTGTTTTCGACACCTATATTATACCCAAGCCAAAAATATTTACAAATACAATAACTCAATTGGATGTAAAATTCACAGCACAAATCAATTTCCGTGTGTTCCTGCTCCCGCGTGCCCGAAAAACAATGTGTCTTAAGAAAAAGTCCTCTTTGCGGCCCCGGTGTTAATCTCTTTGGAGTCCACTGTGCGGCTACAACAAGAGCTGCCCTATTCTGTCTTCTTTTGTCCGACTTTTATATTGAAGAAAGAAAGAGATGTCCACTTCTTGTTCAACCGGTGAAACTCGGATAAAAGAAGAAATCAATCTTGTTGACCGAACCTTGAGATGTATTTCCAACAAAATAACAGACCTTCAACTATGGAAAGACCACCGGATAAGAATTCCATAATTTGGATTAAGGGCGCACCAGATTTTGACTACTAAAATCCTTTAAACGAGTCGGGTTTTGTACACAACTCAAACTCGAGACATAATTTAACAGCAATAATGATTGTGGGGTGGAGAACAATAAACTGGGATTCGAGTTGAGATTTGTTGGTGCAAATGTTTATTTCCCTTTGGAGTTTTTGTCCTAATTGGGCAGGCTCGTCGTGAGGGAAGTTCAATTAAGATGCATGTGATTGGATGTAAGCTTACGAGGGAAATTGGATTCGATTAGAAATGATGGTAAGGGGGGGTCTCGTTCCGGATCAAAAGTTATGCTCTGTCAAAGCCGGGGCGTGAGATTTTGGGATGAAATTGACAGTTTCAAGTAATTTTAAGTTGATCACTTCATAGATGTGCATTACACAATCAATGATATTCTTGAAAAAAAAAGTTCAAGAACAATTCGAGCTTTACCCATTTTTGCCCGGACTGTATTGAATAAAAACTTCAGTCTGGGCCATCTTTTGGATCGAGCCTGGAAAAGTCAGGCCCTGTTTGTTCCTCGCTCGTTTTTCCTTGGACTCAGCAAAGCAGATTGATTTCTAAAAGTCGACTTATTTGAGACTCACTAGTGACCACATATGAAAAGTGCAATGCGAAAGGATCACCTTACTTCAAAAAATTGAAGGACCTTGTCGTAACATAATCGATGTATTGGCATGGAAGATACCTTATAAATTGTGGAGTTCGGGTCGGGAACGCCATTATCCGTGACCCAAATGGGCGGGCTACCTATTATCAGGCGCACCTTATGATTTCATGGTTCTACACAACAGTTAAAGGACTTGGAACGAGGAGGATCGTCCCAAAATTTCGGCGGAGTCAGACCCGCAATACCTTTCTTTTACAACAGGGTTATCTGGACCACCTCATCAACAATGTATAGAGGAGATGCAATCTGATTCTGTTCTCTTTCTTAATTGCTTATTGTCCATACTTCATAGATGTTGCCGAACCAGGTGATGCTCAGCTCCAGTCCAACAGTCTCCCTATTGAGCTTTGAGGTTAGCTTTTGTCAAACTTTTGAGCTATATAGATTCTATTTCTGGTTAGGGTTCATTGATTATAATGCTGTCTTTTCATATTGTGGATTTTACTTTCTTGTATTTTTTTGCTTGTGAAAATTCGAGTCTTCGCTTCTTCCTCTCTGTCATAATCTTATATCTTGCATCTATAAGTTATGCGGTAGAAGATTGCTAATTTATTTATTTCCTCGCTTAAATGATAATATTCGTCATTTTACGTTTCAATTTGAAAAAAAAAACGAAAAAAAAAAAACAATTCACAATGCTAAGAAGACTACATTGTCCAAACACCAACACCTCATATTTCTTCGCAATACCATGTATTTGTTATTTTTTTTTGCAATACCTATATTTCAATACTATACGTAAAGCCAACTTTCAAATTTGGTATCTTCAAATGACTAAAAAAATACCCTTATTTTCAATATTAAAAGAGTAAAGAGCAAATTAGATGTTGCTTTAATCAAAATTCAATGTCTTAGCTGAATCTCCTACTTTCATGTAGTACGTAACTCGAATTCATGTATCTATTCATCTACGAAAACCGACCCACGTTTATCTCTTATCTAGCATATGTGAAACGCATGCGAAAGATCTAATATCTGTAAACTATAATTTTAATGGGATAAAAACTAACAACAAAATAAGTTAAGCAAGGATTGAAATTTCAAGGACCGCTCCTGCTCTCAGCTATATATAGAGGCCCCGATAAAATCATAAACACACGGAGTGACTCGCGCTCACATCCGAGAGTGCTCTCTTCTTCTCTAACGCTACACCGACTCGAGTGTCGGAGCGCTTACTTGGGGGGCTCTCCCTAGACCCCTCCTCCCCCATTTCTCTCCTGTGGGTCAAGGGTCAGGAGGACCTAGACCTTCCAAAGAGACTTTTCAAGAGGCAAAATCACCACCCGATTACAAATTCCTTTTACACACCAACCATTTACCATTCCCATCCCATAGATGAGACGGAATCCTATTCCTT